CAACCAACGTTCCCTGCTTCCTTTTCTCACGCTCTTTGCACACACCGATCAGCCGCCGGTCTTTCTCGCTCCGATTCTCTCGAAAGTTCAAACTGGTCGGTTCCTCCGTTTCGACGAACGTGGGCAGTCGAACCACTACGCCGCGGTTCTAGCTTCACACCAACCTCGATACAACAGTTTCCTTTCTTAGCGAAACTTCCACGAGCCAGTTTTCGTGTCGCGTTCTCGTCGATTCGGCGATTTTTGTTACTTTCGGCGAAAACGATCGCACGAACCCAGTCTTTTGTGTACGTCCGCTTCGATTCAGGGATTCGAAATACGTTCACAACAGTTTACCACGATTCTGTGTGTATGTGTGTGTTACCGTTGCCCTTTCTGCTCTACCTAGGTATCGTCAGCCGCGCTGCAGCTAAGCTGATCTTTCGTAGCCGGTGTTGCTGCTCTGTCCACTGGAAAACTGCATACACGTCGTGTGCTTTCACGGATAGTTCGGTTCTTTATTTGTTGTTTTTTTTCGTCTCCCCCTTTTTGACGGTAATTCGGCGTGTTGCTGCCTTTTCAAACAACGTTCAGATCACGCGCGTCCGCTCGGTGCAGCAGTCTGCTACGGAATGAGCACGCCGATGGTCGTGTGGGTAGGTGTAAAACCTAGGAGTGGTGGGGATGAACGGCACAGCCTATTGGTCCATTCTGAGGCGGGACTCCTACGTCACAGGTTACCATTGATTTTCCAATGTTGATACACACGACGGCATGACGTTCCGGATTGATTTTCTGGCGGCGGTTCCTGCTGGATCGCACGTATATATATACATAGCCCTGGCCCGTACTACTTATATATGGGATATACTACGTCACTGAACTACCCTATATGCCTCCTTCCTGCGTAAAGGATCGCTCGAACACTTCCTCGTCCCTTTCCTTTCTCGACCTTTCGCAACTGCTCGCCCTAAACCCTTTCCCTTCTGTCAAAATCATACGCACAATTTGTATTTACGCTTCTCAAGGTCGAACACGGCATAATTGTAACTGCTCCAAAACAAGGATGCACGTGTTAAACACGTTGACGCGGCGATCACCTCCCTATTTTCGGATCGACGCCAGCTCCTATTCCGGGGGCTATTGTTCCCTCTCAAATATTTCCATTCGTTACGCGCGTATTACGTTTCACTTCGAGAAAACCTTCAGACGTAATTTTATTTTCGATTAGTACAATCTACGAATGAGAAATCGGTGATAATTATCGCTTAGCGGCCCACTTTTAATGAAACAATCTGATGCAATAGACGAATGGTTATTACGATATGCGATCAATTAATAAGCATCTTCCGGCACTCAAATGAACACGACTCTATTAACACGTAACGATCAGCGACAAAAATTTTGCGCGTTCAAACTTCAAGAAATTCATTTTTCGAACGATAAACCGTGCGCATAAGTCGAGGGGTAAAAATATCTGCTGTGGATGAGTTACCATCAGATGGTATCAAACTTCGTATATACCTACAGTCGGTATTATATTATCGTTGATCGATAAGCAGAGAAAATTGCAGTGAGTGAATGTCGGTAAGTTACCATGAAAGTTTTGCGATTCAAAAATCTACGCGGCGGTTTTTTCTCAATTAGCGATACGATTTTACATCTATCCGTGTAACACTATATTTACTTACCTCATAAAGTAAAACGACTAAATTTCTATTCTTTCGAAAGTAAAAGAAACGAATACGAGACTTGAGTTTATTTTTCGTAAAAACTACATTTATTTCGTTTGCAAAGGTACATGTCTTTTGTTAAATAAACGCAATTCGCTCGCTTCACGCGGTACGTTATCATTGTGTGGTTCAAAGAGAAATTACAGGTTCACAGCGCAGCCGAAAACCGTGTTTTTACTGTTGTCGTTTCGTCTATAAAACATATCTTTATTCTACCTCTTTCCTTAACTGTAAGTAGTAGTTTCACGTTCGTGCATCGGACAATAAAGGAACTGTTAGACCTGACTTAGTTTTAACTTAATCGTCAAGCTGCCTACGTTAAGACGCTGCCTTTTAGTATCTTTATCGTATTATTCGTCTAGATAACGCATTCGAAAAAACTTCTATCATCTCTCTCGAACGGTTACATTGAAAATGTTCGCCTAAACTTGTACTTGTAGCGATAATGTATTTTACCAGGACCAGACTTTCGGAAGCTCTGAGATAAATTGCATTTCTCCCTTACGAAATACAATGCAAAAATCAAGCGAATTTAATAGTACGATAAAATAGTTCTCTTCCTCTTTTTCGTACGCGTTATCACGATAGAATTCTGTCCATCGATGGATTTTTCGTTACTTTTCTTTCAAACGTTTAAAGTCTTATCGAGATTTTCCAGGACTGCAAAAGCTGTGGAGCGTATACCGAACATTTTACATGATATTTCATTCTATCGCACTATTACTTGCGTAGGAAAGTACGAATCCTCTGTTTCGATACAAAACTTTTACGTTCGATCGCAGTTACCGCTATATGTATTTATATACATATACACCGTAAACTCTATAATATAGTATAGTATACATTTTTTGTTGTTGTTTATTTTTCTCTCGAAAATTAAAATACATCTTCCGGAGAGATTAAACTTATCGTTAAACGGCACAGGTATCGAGAATACCGTTTCACGCGTGCACGCGAATTTCCCGCAAAACGTGTAAGAACTAGAGCGTATCTTTGGCACGATTAAGAGGTATTTGCAATTCTTTTTCTCTGAAACGCCTTCCCGTGCGCATAATTCGATGGTTTAAGCTACGAAGCCGTATTCATTTGTCAGCGGCTGCTCTCTTCTAGTACGCAACAAGCACCGAATTACAAAAATTCAGACGGATTCGTTTAGGGCCATTTGCATACTCGCGTTGCCTTCCACACACTCTCTCTCTCTCTCTCTCTCTCTTTCACTCTTCGAGGACATTTGCATACACGTGTCGCGCCCCTGTCTCTCCCAACTTTCCTTCTTTCTCTCTCTCACCCTCCCTCTCTCAGGGTCGTTTGCATACTCGCGTTGTGTCCCCTCCCTCTCCTTTTCTCTCGATGCAAATACAATTGCCCCGTCTACATTATTTAGCGTATGGTTATTAACTTACACGCTAATAGATATACCTTACTGATACCTCTCTTTTTTTTTTTTGGCACAGACTCGAGATAATCATACCGATCACAAACATCGAAAGTACTCGAACTCGGAATAGTAATTCTTAGACACCGTTTAAATAAACCAATTGTTCGGTGATTTGTATCGCTATCATAATTATATATATGTATACGGTCGGATGATTCGATATCGTTGTTATTATACTTCGACTACATTTCGCCTACTTACGTGGTAAGTACATACACGATGCGCATAAAAATAATACATCCTCGTAGTGAACACTTTGAAATGGCGTTACTTCCCTTGATAGTTTCGATTCTAAGAAATAAATCTGATACTCGACACGAATCATGCCGACGGATATTCTCTTTCTTCTCTTATTAAATGCCCTATGTAGTACTTTGTGATCGTTATCGAAACTACCCCTTCGCTTCGACGATTATTAGTAGACGAGGGTCGAGAGAGCCTCTAGCCTCGAGCAAGTACAAGCAGCACCGTACAAAAAGAAAAATACGAATCTTTGTACGTATCAGGTCATCCCACGAGTAATGTCGTTTCAGAAGCCCAGTTTCGATACATCGATCACTTGCCATTTTTCACGCAATGTTTTAATCCTCCTTTCAAAAAACACTCTTATCTTTTAGTAATGTTAACTTAACCCTTTGTAGTCCTATGTCGAGTCGACGTAAGAATTTTTGCCTTCAGGTATCGTACAATGATAAATTGTATATTATAAATGATAACGAACCATTTTTTATGCATTAATATTATACCGAAGCATAGTATTTTACTATGACATAAAGAAATATTGAAATAAAGGGAAACTACGTGGTACTGCCCGGGAGTGACCAAACGAGTGCGGATTAACTGGACTATTTGGACCGCAAAGGGTTAACACATATTTCCGAAGTTTCTGTCATTTGTAAAGTTTTCCAGTGAACGAAACAGATGATAATCTAGCATATTAATTCCCAGTTCAATTGTTCAATTTCTTCCATTACTTCTTCAAATCTAATCACTCAGCAACATCGCATTTACCAATGGCAAAGTACTTCCCCATCTTCAAACACGTTACACAAGTTTACCAAAAGTACGTCTACAGACCGTACATTGAACCAAAGAGAAGTAAACAAAAAGAAAAGCTTCTCTTAATGTGTACGAACAACGAACGAAGATAAGAAGCGACGTTACTTACAGGATGATCTGATAATTTCGCAAGAGATACCACGATGCGCAACAGACGACAAAAAGAAACGCAATATCTAAACGACTATGTCGCTCTCTAAAGAATAATATTCAAAGAATTCAACAATATCAAACAAGAAAAAAATATATAACATATATGTGTATAACAACTCGCATTTCGCTTTGTGAGTAAACAGAGGCGAACAAGGGTAACGAATGGACGAAGAAATAAATAATTAAACGAATAAATAAATAAATAAATAAATAAATAAATACGTAAACATTTATGTATAATCGAACGATCGAATAACATATAAAAAAATAAGTAAGCTTGCGAATGAAGAACGGAGAATATGAACGAAAATAAAGTGTCTCAGTTTCGCAGTTCGAAGGTGCAGTTCGAGTAAAGATGGATCCTCTGATGGTCCCGCAGATGGTGTCGATGCTTGAACCGTTTCTTGCACCAGGCGCATTGAAATCTCGGCCCGACGCCGCACTCCAGACGCAGATGCCTGGTCAAGTTGCACTTGTGGGAGTACGTGCGACCGCATTTCGGGCAGAGAAACGGCGGCCCGTCCTCCAGGTCCTTCAGCATCTTCCAAACTGCAACAATGTTTTTTAAAAAGAATCGGTGAAACGTTTGCCTTGCAATGTCCGTGCAACGAAATGACAAGTCTTGCGGCAAGTGTAACAAGCGGTTTTTTTTTTTACGGCGAAAATAATATCAGCAACGAACAGAGAAAAGGAGACGGTCATTTCGAAGGAGATCTTTTTAAACATCGAGCCATGCTGCCGCCGCAAAGAAGAAAAAGAGGAACACGTGTCCGTCCTTCTCGTTTCTCGCTGGAAAATCAAAATTCCGAAAATCGAATTGGCTCTGCACAGTGTTTTACCCGCTTCGGACAAGTCGATTCGCAACAGAAACACTTCTAACATGCATTATTACTAACATCTCTACGGAAAGACAAAAGAGTGATTGACGGTCGAATGAAATTCGTCACGACTCACACAAAAGTTACAGAAGAAAAAAAAAAACACTTAAGAATGAGTAACATTTGGAGAGTGATAAAATTCTTGACATCGATCGACGAGACGCGAGTGTTAACAGAGACATGCTGTGCGCTTTGATGATGCGAGAATCAATGATATACAGGAAGGTAATTATGCTTTTTACACAGAGAAGAAAACGATGTAACAATTCGATCAGATATCGTTAAGCAGGAAATACTTGGTAAATAGAAAATATTTATTTTTATTGTCGTACAATCGTAAGTATTCGCTCGCTCGTAGCCTGTATATCTAAAACCGGCGTTAAGTAACAACCGCATTAATAACGAATCGTGGATATTCGTCGGTGTAACTAATATACATATATTCGATCTTACCTTAGAACATTCATTACTGTATATTGTCGTATACTTAGGTAGCCTTACCACTTTACATAATAATTTCAATATCAAACGTGAGACCACGATGGCAGTGAATCAGTCTATAAATGGTAACATAATGGTAAATAAATCCTGGTGACCTCGATACGTAGTTGTGCCGTAAATTCTGTCCCACAAAATGAAATCGTGAATCTTAGTAGCTTGTTGCTGTTTGCAATCAATAAATTTTGTCGGTGTATTCAATATTTATATTATTAATGTTGCGTCGTGCGCTTCGAACAAGCGGTATGTTCGAGAGTGGTGGCGCAGGATTGTCGCTGGTTCGTGGTGCGTATTTTATTTTGTTAAATGAAAAAGACTTTATTTTGAAGAGTGTTTGTGTTAGAAAAGTCCAAAAAGCGAAGGCTTGAGTGGGCCATGTGCAGTCTTCTGCTGCGTTTCCCCCTCCTAGGGATAGTTCTGCCTCAAGGCTAAGAAAGGCCATATTGTCAAGGGGGTCCTCTTGACTAGGTTTTTCAGGAAAGATAGAATTGTATCAGCACTCGTACAGTATAGTTCGAAATACAAGCATTCACTCTGTTTAACCGCCCACGTTTATATCTTATTCAACCGCTCACCACCGTTATCCTGACTGATTTTCTCTTACATTTGTCTATTTTCCCTTTTTGATTTAATTTCCCCGTTAATTTTCGTTCGTTAGATCTGTTTTACTCGAAAATTTCGATAAGTCGAAACCTCTGTAACTCGAAGATTTTAGCTAGAGGTTTGAGCTACCGAGGCTCGACTGTATTTTCGGTCCTTCAAAAGGTGCAACGAACTATCCTCTGTGGACAATTCATAGTGACTCGCTGAAAGCAACGAAATCAATGCCCGTAGAACTTATGCGTGCAACGATATATGAATTTCGTTCTATTGGCGCCTATAGGCGTTTCGAATACGTCTCAGAGACTCCGCTGAGTCTACGTTTCCTGTTTCCTTTCATTCTATTTAGAACTCAACGTTATTATATTAAAATGAAATCGATACAACCAACTACTCTGTTCTATAACGTTCATTAGGTAAATCAGTAAGAACAGTCGTCAGAAATGTTCTATATTTATGTATAAACTAACCGGAAGTTGAGGAGTTTCGTAGACTCCGTATGCGTACTTCAACCTTAATTTAACGAAAGAAATTTAAAAACGAGAAATTTTAAATTTCAATTTTAAATTCTTCGAAAAGTTTTGCAACGCCCAAAATTGAAGATTTTGCGACCACGACCGAGCATCTGTCCTTTGCCACGCGCGTTACATACCAAGATCTGTCGCAACGAAAGGGTTAAAAAGCGCGTGTACTCGCTATCGAGTATACCTGACAAACAACTGTTAGATTTATCAGTCAGTTAGATAAAACAAAAATAAATCTAACGCCTTACTAGTGTCGTCGGTTCGCTTTAGACGGTGAATTTTAGAAATTATCTTTATTAAGTTTTTTCTTTTATTTTACACTGTTGGTTTTACGGATATAAACTGCAAGGTCTACACTTCCTTGTTATGCAATACTGACTGTCTCGTCCTTTTTCGAGGCTGCTTTTATATTGGGGTTTTTGGGAGTTGCGGGTGGGGGAATTTAGGAATGCGTTCGTTAGGTAGGGACCAGGAATGTGTAAGGATAATGATCAGGACTCGTTAGGATTGAGGGTTCGATGGTACGGGAGAAGAATTGCAGGGACAATGGTTCGGTAATGAACTTAAGGAGTCGGTACAAAAGAAATGGGTAGAGTGCATCAGTTTGAGGATCTGCCGGAGGTAGGACAGAAATTCGGTGGGAAAGTGGAAAACACGCAGGTAGTTGTCAAAACGGTACCTAGGATAAAGGGGGTCGCGTAGGAGCATTCTCAGTCTGTATACAGTGCTCTTACCATCAAGTAGAAAAGCGAACCTTCCTTGTGTCCAATAAAAGTTTATAGTTTAAAAGAAGGATTATTAATTATTTAACAACCAATAACTCCCATAATCCAATAACAACAAGTATTAAAAGATTATTCTGTTTTAATTGACCTATCACACGAAGTGATTTATACGAGGGACAGAGTTCACGGCACTGCTGCGTAGCAATAAACGCTTAACTCAATGTTTCTGATGAGTTCTCATGTGTAGAACCAAGTTGTGCTTGTGCTTCGACTTCTTGTGACATATGTGACACTCGAATTGCGGTTCGACACCGCATTCGAACCTGATGTGCCTGTTCAACGAGTGAGGCCTCGTGTACGCGTTCCCGCACCGCGGACAGGTGTAAATCGATAGGTCGCGAACGTTCGAATTCGCGTGATTTCCCGTCAACGAAGCTTCGGCACATCCATTCTCCCTGGTCTTCTTCGAGGCAACGAGCTCGTTCGTGTCGTTTCCGGAATGCGCGGCGGAATATTCGTCGTCGTCGACGTTCTCCGCCATATGATTCTCCGCCATCAGTCGAAGGTACAAAGACTGGCAATGATAGTACCATCCTATCGCTGCACCTGGCGAGTTGTTCCGTTCTAGAAAATAGACAACAGAGTCATTACCGTTTTGCACCGTCCTCTACTCACTCCGAATGATTTTCGTATCTGGTTACGAGACATCGACGACGAACGAGGAGGTTGGACTTAACACATATCGAGACACATTTAACCGATCACCAAGAAAGCAATTACGCACACGCACGCGCATACAACCACCGAGCCTCTGTTTCTCGCTCTTTCAATCAACACCGTTCGAAACATTCCGACACGATTAGTATGTCGCGTTCCAATTACCATTTCTAAGATCGTGTTACACGCGATACAGGCTTCGAGGAACCCTCCGAGAACAACGCGAAATATCAACGCGGCGGTATCAAGATTCGCCTGTTTCGTTCACACCGAAGTACGAAATTTTTCACGCTCGTTTGTGCAATTCGTTGTCTTTCGTTTCTACAATTTTCATTGCGTTTGTCCGCGAATTTGGAGCGGCAGCGAAGTAAAGAGCGAAATAAATCCGCCGTGAAAGAAAAAAACGCTACAAATTCGCAGTCTTGGCGGAAAATTTTCGCGTTGCTGTGAACACACGCGTAAACCGCTAAGTAGACCGGACGCGGCCGCAAAATTATTATACAAGCGAGCACGAGGTGATTCCTTATGAAAGAATAAACAGAAAAAATAGAATAAAGCTTTTTCGTCGCGTATGTTTTAACAATTCCTTAATTGATATAAAATATTATTGAAAAAATTTGATCTTCGCATTTTTTTGATGCTGACATCTAGGCGTTGTATGCTTGTCGCTTGACGAATCGCATTTGTCCGTATCTTAGCTGAAACTAAGTATGCAGAACATTTTCTCGAACACTAATCCTCGGATGAAAATATTTTATTCTATATTTTTATTTTTCACGAGGAATTACCTCGTGCTCACTTTTAAATAACTTTCGACCGTACCCTGTATTGTACTACCGTGGTTCTACCGCCCCGAAATATTCGCTGCCCCTGTGAACCTGTCGCCCCGTAACCTTCGCTGCCCCTGTGAATCTGTCGCCCCGAAATGTTCGCCACCTCTGCAAATATTTTGCATTAATCTGGGGGTTCCTTCAAAATTCATTTAAATTGTCATCACACGCGGCTTTTAATTTTCAAGATTTCAAACTTTGTTAATTAAACGTGAAACGCGCGTACAATTAGTCATGAACATGAAATTGGTTCTTCTTAGAATTCAACCACACACGCACATACACAGAAAGAGAGAGAGAGAAAGAGAGAGAGAGAAAGAGAGATGTTAGGCGTTGAGTAGCCCGTTAATTTCTCACACAAGCAGCGTTTCATTGTTCTCTTAGCAACGTTTCAAGGACTGAACTATGATTTGTTCCCTCAATTTGTTTATTTCCATAAAAAAGAAAAATAGGATAGCGAGGTTCTCGATTCGGATACAATGTTCAACAGGCGACTCCGATAACAATGGATCAATTAGGAAAGAAACGCGATGACAAGTTGTGATTTATTGAATCATATAAATTAATTAGGTTGTAGCATCGGTATTGTTAGAAAATAGGACAATTTGTGATTCTCGCGATTTACAGTCGTTCCGACATTAGCGAATCGGACGATTCGTTCAATTCGACAGAGTCGACGCTTACCCTGATTAAAAATAAAAACAAAAGCACCAGGTAGAAGGGATCAACTCTCCAAGTGCGGCGAATAATAATAATAAACGTATTATCTAAATCGTCACCGTAATCGTGCACAGTCTTATCAGTTAGGATTATTATTCTGAGCGGTTCGAAAAAATACTACTTACCGAAACAAACCATACGAAAATCGCACCGAGTATTCTCTCACCGATAGCTCAATCTCAAGGAACATACTTCGTTTCACTTAAAAAAAGATTAGCCGAAAGAAGAGAATTTCCTAAAAAAAATTCGCAGGTATGAGATAATCGAGCTTTCCGTTTCTCAACGAAAGTTTCACCAACTTGTGCCGTCTCTGGTAATGTTCGTTCAATTTTCACCGGTGGTTACAACATTTTCTCCGTGTTACCACACTCCTCCGCCCTTTGACGCCTCGAACAAACCGTGTTCGCGACAGCTTAATCTCGAGGAACATATTTCGCGATCGCTTAAAATAAAAAGGGGAAAAAGTTTCAGAGGTTCGCCGAGAAGAAGAGAAAATTGCGCAGGTATGAGACAATCGAACTTTTCAATTTGTTTAACGAAGCTTCGGTAACTTGTGCCGTCCCTGGTAATGTTCGTTCAATTTGTACTGGTGATAGAACTTTTTCGGGCACAGTTTACAGCAGAACTTCTTCTCCTTGTTACCACACTCGACCCTTTGATGCCTCAACAAACTGTCCCTCCACTTGTACCGCTTGCCACAACCGAAACAAATGTTCGCGGAGATTCCGTCGTTCCGCGGATGATACTTCGTTTCGACCTGTTGCGGGAAATTCGTGCCGTGGCCGTAATGTTGGAATCCTGATGGAAAACCGTACGAGAGTTGCAACGTGGAGTAGGCATCTGAAATTGAACAAACAGACAAACCGTTTAGGAGCTGTTCCCCGAACTGGCTGCGCGATAATGAAATAGCGGTAGGTGAAAAAATTTTCGTTTCACGAAGACGGCGGTGTTTACGGGATGACGTTCGTTCGTTCGAGACGTGTCAAATGAAACTCGTGGTGGTGTACAATTGAAAAAATATAATCCTTTATTCTTCGAGCGATTCCGCATAATCGGGGAATAATAACAAAATAAAACGTTGAAATAATTTTATTAAACGGAAAGAAAACTCAACAGATTGTACATATGAGAGAAGAAAGAGTGAGAGAGAAAAAAAGGAAGAAGGGAAAGAAGTACCGAGTGAAAAGAAAACCGATAATATCGTCGTGATTCACGATTGGACGATCGAGCGATAAATCAATTCGTTTCCCCGTCACGTTCCACATAGTCGACTCTGTGCCTTCCCAATTTCCTACTGTATTCTCAACCTTTTCCCCACATTTCGACATCGACAAGGCTCCGACTCACGTGCGAAAAGAAAAGATTTTTTCGCAATCCATCTGGTGGATTGTCGTCGCTCTCCCTGAGAAACGAGCTCTCGTGACTAAAAAACGATGGTTGACAAAGTGACAAAAGGTGACGTGAACATTTCATCCCATGGTTCTGCTGAGAAAATCCATTTATTCAGTATATTCGGCTGCGTGCAAAGGTGTTTCTGAACGAATGTCGAACAAGAAGTACGAGAAGATACAAAATTACGCAGCGTGACAATTTAACATGGAGCATTCTTGTATTGCACGTGTAATCGTGCTCGACCATGGAACGTAGAAAGCCGGCGGAAACGAGAATAGAGATATTTTGCTGAACGAGGGATAAGAATTGGAAGTACCTAGGAAACGTCTCTCGCGTCGATCGGGACAGTTCGAGGCAAGTGATAGAGAAGTAGTATCGCAAGGTGGCGAGCATCTTGCGAGTTCACAGGTCGTGGTAAGCGGTAAGATGATTTCGCAGCTCGTATCTGTACTTGAACCTCCTGTCGCACAGGTGACACGAGAATTTCTTCTCTTTGTTCCCGCAATCGACTCTCTGGTGCCTCCTCAGGCTGTCCTGCCACTTGTACTTCTTCCCGCAATCCAGACAGACGTATCGGGGCTCGATCACGTCCACGTACGACTCCGATCTGTGGTAGTGTTGATCCACGTTGTATCCGAGATCCGTCGATTCGCCAACTTTCGTCGCGTTCGGTTTATCGCGAAGGAACGAGGACTCCTCTTTCCCGCCGACGTTCCGAGCCTTTCTCTCCAGCATCCACAACGCGTCGTATTCGGGCAATTGATCGGTACCTGCGGGAAAGAAAACGGGAAATAGCAGCGATCACGTTCGACGTAGTTGGCACAGATATTAACGAGTATACTTAATCCCGAAATTGTCAGGTAACATGATAGGAGGGCTCGATAATATAACATATCTCCGAATACTTCGATGTTTCTTCGATGTTTAATGGACGCACAAACAGGTGTACAAATACATATGACAAGTTCGAAGACCAGCACGAACAGGCAAATCGTACGGGAGATATTTGCGGAAAATTGTCGGTTGAACGCGCGACAGAGCTAGCGGAACAACAAGTGTCTCTCCTGTGGCCGCCGTACATGGTACGCGCAGCGAAGTAGGCGAGTTTGACACGTCGAATGCCGGATCGGTTATATTCGCCCGAATATATTTTTCCCTTTTACACCATGTATAAGCGTTACGGTGAAATATTGTACAGGGTGAGTCAGCTGAGACTGAAATATTTTCGAAATTGTTAATCGCTTCGAGGAGGGCTACAGACGAAATTTCGAATGGTTTGGAATAGTAGCACTTTTGTAAGTGGACTTTGCAAGCGACATGAAATAACCGTCACTTTCGGCCTCCATAAATTTCTTCACCGCGGTGAAATAGAGAATACGTTGAATATTTAAATAAAATAGTACACTTTACTTCTACGTTGGTTTGAAAGAAATTTTCAAAGATCCGACTTGCAACCTCTTCTACAGCAAAATCACCTCCGAGTGCAAAGTGTTAAGTTCAAGTGTTTTTTCAATGGAATCGTGTATTTTTTAATACATCGATCGATTCAGCTCGTCGTTGTGTATAAAAAGGAGTTAAGCTGCAACGACCCGCTCGAAACCGTTCAAATTTCGCCTGAAGCCCTTGTTCGATGTAAGTGACATTTTCGAAAATATTTCAGCTTCCAGTCCTGAGCTATATTATCATGCTTTATGCATTTATCAGCGGCGTTGGAGAGAGTTCGAACGATCTCGCGCTCGTATCTCTCGCGAGAAATTACACCGAAAATGTCGTCACACTCCGTGAAGATTGAACTGGTTCCCTATCCCTTTCTTTGCCACGTTTCGATACATCACGTCGCAATACGCGTAAATAATACAGTTAGCGACAAAACTATTTAACCCTTTCGCTCCGAAATGGACGAAAAATACCGTATATACGTTAAAAATACAATATTTCTAAGAATATATCCACGTAAATTGTATTACTTTTGAAAAAATAAATTCGAATCGTTGTAACAAAATTCATCGCAAAGTTTCGAAAAACATGAAACGCAATCGTGCACAGCGATGACGTCGCGAAAGGGTTAAATGCGCTCTACGACGCATCAGTCTGTTTACATCGAAAATTTCACAGATATTACCATTTATTTAAGCGACACCGCTTCTTTCCCCTAATCTCGGTACCGCCAATGACGACCTCCGCGCGGCATTCGACGCGTGAAAATTGGAAAAAAGTCTACCGTCGTTTCACGCGAGATCTAGGCAACGAGAAATGTTCGTTTTGCTATTAAGAGGAGGGCTTGTCGTTAGCGGCCTCCTTGTCGCCGCAGACGAGCCTCTGGTGCCTTCTCAGCGTGTCCAACCTTTTGTAGCCTTTCCCGCACTGATTGCAATAAAACTTTTGCCGATGAAGCCACTCGACCTCCTCTTGCAGCTTCTCCAACGAGGCGTCGCACTTGGTCTGATGCCGTTTCAGGCTGTCCATTCGCGTGTAAGCTCTGTCGCAACCGTCGCAGCGAAACTGCTGGTGTGACTTGACGCCGCTTTTACGAAGCACGCTAGCTTCCACGGAATTCAGGATGGACGAGTCGCAGAGGAAATAGTTCATCGGTAGGTGGCCGTGAAACGAAACTTCGCAAACCTCCGTCGTCTCCTCCTCTTCCTCTTTTTCCGCCTCGTTCTCCAACTCCTCGCCTGCAAAGACACGTTTCCCCGTTACAAAGCACGAGTGTTCGCGAGCTCGAGAGGAGACTCGCGCTCTCGTCAGTTCGCCCGTAGGAAGGGAGAAGCATGCAGTTTTCTCTCTCGTCATAGCCAAAGAATTACCTTGCGTCCGGCCTCGGGTATGAATCTACGTATACAGTTTTTTCTTATTTCTTTTTATTTCGAGCAAAAGCTTCAGATTCGCGACTACTTGGTGCTGGTTATCGGATACGCGAAAAACGTCGTTAGTAATTAGAAAAGACAACGATAAGACGAGGAAAATCGTTCGAACAGAGAAGCAGAGGTTAGAAAGAGAATCGTTTCAAGTAGGTTTTTATTATGCGACTTCCACGTGAAACATTTGCTTATCGTCGATCGGTTACTTCAATCTCGCGATCCTCGCTGATTATACATTTACAACCGTCCTCAATGTACACACACACAGGGACAGACAACGAGCATTCTCCTCGAATAAAAACTAGAATGGGGATTCGTGTTACAAAGTGATTTTATTACAGTTATCATCGTGCCGCATCGTTACACTAAATAATCTCTTCGTTTTCCGATGCGCGCCGAACGACGGGAAGATTTCTTTCTCTCGAGGGGGGTGGGTGGAAATTCGTCAGATTCGAACGGAACGAGGTGAAGAAAAAGTATGGAAGATCCTTTGCAGAATATATCGACGAAGCATGTACAATTTCAGGACAATGAGAAAGAAGAAGAAGAAGAAAAAGCGTAAGGTACAGAAAAGGAATGCAGGAGAGAAACGAGAAAAGAAGGACGAAAAGGGGGTACAAAGGAAAGTAGTGTCTGCAAAGAAACCTCTGTGAAACTCCGTTTATACTCTTTCTTATTGGGTCTGCGATTTCAAAAGGAGAGTCGAATGGACAGATTTCACGTGAGAGATCAACGAGAGCGGCTTGGCGAACTTTTTGCCGCAGAAACGGCAATACATTCTGCCTCCTTTTACTCTGCAATAGTTCTTCTCGTGTCTTCGAAGGCTGTCGAGCCTCGAGAAGCTCTTCCCGCATTCTTCGCAGATCACGCTCTTCGCCGCCTTCTTTCGTTCCTCCGCTTCCGCCGACTCGTAGCTGCTGGCGACGAACTCGAACAAAGTTTGCGGCACCTCGTACTCGTTCTCTTGCTTCACGAACCAATCGCTCAGGTCCGCTCGTTTCCCTGCGAAGAATCAATGATTCGCGTTAACAAACGTTGCATTCGTGTCCGAAACATGTTTTTAGTCGATTCGGACGAGGGGGCTGAGAGTGGCGGAGGGTGTGGTAAAATAGGGAGAGAGCACATGCATCGAAAGGAACACAGATTTGTTTCACGCTGCTGATGTCGCCGGTGTTGCTGCTGCCGCTTTCGTTAAGCAGCGAACATTTGTTAAAACGTGCCTAATTTCTCCAATGAAATGCCCATGATACTTGTACATAAAACGATCGTTACGTATATAAGAAATGAAGCACAGTTATCAGGAGGCGCATGTTCCTCTCGTTTCATCAATTATCCTCGTCACTCGTTACGTCTTTTCACATTCAAAGAAGAACAAGACAACGGGTGTTTCTGTGAATCCAAACGTTTATTGATCGAATAAATAACAAAACATAAAAAGGTATGCTCGGTGATTTCGGATCGCTTAAAATACGTATACTCGAGTTCCATTAGCGTTACAGACTTTCCATTATGCGGTAATGGAGACTTAAAGCTTTACAACGTACTTCGGACAAAGTGGTTCGATTAAAAATGCATCGACGTACGTTCGAATGAATCGTGTATCCGACTTGATCGTACAGTAGGAGGCAAAGCTCAAACACAAGCGGAGAAGGATTATGTTAGGACAGAAGGTTAGTAGTGTGATACGCTTAAATATTAATCCACACTTCATGCGGTACAAATAAGTTACCCTCGTGGTTTACTTGTCAAAAAAAAAAAAAAAAAAGTAAAGAAAAGAAGAGCAACGCGATGAAAATCGTCGAATTAAATCAGAAAGAAGTGTATCACGCGCTTCGTAACTTAGAATTAGAAAGGTAACGTCTCAGAGTACCTTACGCGATTTCAGGAACACGCAACGTTTCGTCGAGTCTTGCTCTCGACACTTGGAAAAACAAGAAACCGAATTTAGGGAACCGTGTGCTTGGTATTGTAATGTTTGGTCAATTCGTATCTTCGGTAAAATTGCTTTAGACATATTCTACAATGATGCTTGGGCAGCTTTCCACACTCGAGCCTCTGGTGTCTACGAAGATTCGCCATCCACTTGTACCCCTTTCCACATTCTCCGCACATGTAGTCCTGCATAGAGTTAAACTGTCCACGCGAGAAACGCTGTCCGACCACCCCCGGAATAAGTTTGATATCCTTGCTGAATTCGAGAGCCCCTAACTCGTTCATCAGATAGGCGCCCTCTGGAACGCGACAAAAATTCGTTACTTGCGGACATCGATCGTGGCTCCGAGGAGAAGAGAGATACGCGTGATCGATAATGATTCAAGGGATGCACGATGAGAAGTGTTTGGAGAAAGTTGGAAAGAATTGCACCGACAGGTAAAAACTGTCCTACTTAGGCACACACGTCTACGCGGCCTTTTTCACTATATTTCTGTTAGTTACCAAGAGTACTTTATTAAATCGACGGATCTTTCGGGAAAAATACATTTTCTTCTTCGGTTCTGATCGCACAGAGAGGATTGTACAAAGCGAAGTATCGAAAGTAAAATGAAACGGTGTTCGAAACGAGGCAAGAGAAGAAAGAAAGGTGAATGAAAATATTCGTATATCTCCTAAATCAAGTCTGGATGACGAGCTAGCAAGTGTTCTTTCAGCCTATCTCGTCTGTAAAATTTTCTGAAGCAAAAGTTGCACTTGTTCCTCGCTTCTTTGTTCCCGCACTGTAACTGATGCCTGCGAAGGCTGTACATCCAACTGTACTCCTTGCCGCAAAGTAAACAGGTGAACAGCTGCGACGGTTGTTGTTGCTGTTGCTGCTGTGGCTGCAGCAGTTGTTGTTTCTTGCTCGGGTCGTACTGATAATAGTACACCTCGTTGTAGTCCCTTTCTTTCAGCAGTTGATGCTCGTCCATCGTAGCGTTTCGATAATCGTC